CATTTTTCCCACATTTTTGTCGAGTTCAGTCCAGCGTTTCGGCATTACACGGAATATGCGGTGGTCTAAATATGCGCCTTTCTTGCATTTACAGGAAAATTGGCACTTGGGCGTGTAGTCCGCACTGCGGCGATGAGTAGCCGCCCTTACGTTTCATCTTATATAAAGGATTGAACTCGATGACCATGTCTTGTGGTGTTTAATTGCTACTAGCAATAAGCCTACTAGCCGATCTACTGTAGTTCAATTTTTGAAAGCTCTCTTCTTAATGGTGGGAGGCCGCGGTCGTCCATGCAAGGGTAACTTCCGGCCAGACGGCTTTTTCGAGTTGCTGTCGCTGATAATTGAGTTTAGCAGTTGATAATTTTGCTACGCGCTTTGGACAATTGTTGATCAACTCGACCTGTCACTCGCACTGCAACCCGTATAACTCAATGGTCAAGGCCTGACCATGAACCTGTGAATATTATGGCGAGCGCGGTGTTAAAACGCGCTCATGATTTGGCGCGCGCCCGGTAGAAGGAAATATTAGAGTCGGCAGTTTCTGGTCATTTCTATAAGCGAATCCTTCGCTATTCTCATCAATAAGCTACAACATTATGTTGGAACGATCAACAAAAGCTTTTGAAGTGAACTAATGCAAAAAACAGCAGAAAAACGGAAATTTCCCTCGGGAAAAGAAATTCTTTTTTCCCTCCCGGGAAATCGGGAAATTTCCCGGGGGAAATTTTTCCCTTTGGTTGATACTCTGAAACTTCCCAAATATGACACTGATAATAATGATGTTAAAGGGGATTGGGAAAGTTTTGTTATTGAATGGGAGAGGGTGATCCTTCTCACCGGTGATATGGCTGATAAGACTAAAATGGAAATGTTCCAGTATGGTAGGCTCAGCAAAATCAGTAGCTGACGTTTACGCAAAGTCTGCGAAGCCTACTTATGCTGGTTTGAAGAAGTTTTTGTATAAGGCCTATGGTCTGACTGACAGCAACGTAAAGTTTTGGCTTTCAAGAAGTATCGATCGTTGAATTTGAAGCCTCAAGCCTCAAGCTAAGCTTGTTTCCCTCGTCAGCAGGCGATCGTATCTTGTGTTCTACGAATACGTTGTCTCTCATCCCTGATCTGCAACGAGGATCTATACCAGAACCTGGGTTTGCGTACAAAAGTAGCACGCAGACGCACAGGCAAGTTGGCTTGCCAACTGACATCCATAGTGCGAGGATAACCTTTCCCAGTGACTTACACTGAATAGACAAGTGGGAATGCTAGGGTTGCAATTTGGACTCCAACGGAGCTCAACTTGGGAAGTTGGAAAGCCAATTTCCACGGCTCGTTAAAATTCAGCTTTTTCAGATCGCACATGCGTGATGTGCGTGAGAAATTCGGGCGCACTCTTCCAGGGGCTCCCACCCGTGGAACGCGCATATGCCATCATGGCATTTATTGAGGCCATGGGTAAAGCAGGTGCTCAACAGTGTTGGGCCAACACTTAGTACTAAGCACTTCGGCTTCCGTCGGCGACCTTGCGTAACATTGGAAAAAGAGCACGTGTCGCGAATCGATCAATCGCGGAGGCGACACTTCTGCCAGACCCTCCCATAGTTGGGGTCGATTCGGGACGACGAAACCATTCTCCATGTGAATCAGATGATGTGACATGGCACCCACCTCGTGGTGTTAGTAATAACACCCGTACTGGCAGTCTCAACAACACGTGCATACGTGCGCGAACACGTGGCTTACCTCACGCACACACACAGCAAATTCACGCAAGTTTTGTGACACAGCAGACAGCCTTCAATGCTGAGCCTTGGATTCTCCCTCGACACACGAAGTGCATAAATCAATTGGAAGCTACTGGCTACTTTCGTGAGCAGTGAACCTTAATTGTTCGACAATGTTCATGATCAGCATAAGCACCGCAGTTAGCTATCTGATCGTCTCCGCCTACGCCGAAGCCTTGTTGGTAAATGACACTTCCATCAACCTGGACGAAGGTCATCAGCTCCGTTCCCTCCGTCTACCCGTTGTCCATGAGAGGCCCCCTAACTGCTTACCGCCAGCAGTCCAATTTGGCAACAAGGACTATTGCTGGTTCAACCTGGAGAATAAAGCCAGAACTGATCGCCATGCGGGTTTGCTCGTTCTCTCCAACGGCGCTTATAGAAATTTTTTTTCTACTCTGGAGCTTGAAGTCCTCTGGGCAAACTCGAAACCATACGATGTTGGTGTCTGGGCAGATGGGTATACATTCCGACACATTGACTTAGAATATGGTTTGACGCTCGACCTGTTATTTTTTGTTCCCACGGTTAGTCTTAGTGGTGGTGAAGACGTCCACGGCACAAAGCAACTCAAGTTCGATACGGTTCTGTTGACTACCGTATCAGTACCTCACGTTGGCACCGTTAGAGCGGAGGATAAACAAAGTGCCTTCGCTGCAGTACAAGTAAAGGAGCTTCCACATCCACCGACTCCGGATGATCATCCCGCGTTCCTCAGAGCAAAGCTGCAAGCGCAAAACAAGGCCCTGAGTGTGGGGTCCGATATAACGTTTCAGGTAAACATTTATCCTGTCAACGCTAAGTTTGAATGGTGGATCTACGAATGTATCGTCAATGTCGATATCACATATGTAAAAGATGGTAAGGATTTCTACTATAAGCAGGAGATCATCATCTTCCGGGAGACGTCCAAGAGATGAGCATCATTTTTCTCGTCATTATGATAATAACGTTGTCAGCGTTCAGTTCCATCAGTGAGAGCCCTTCATTGTTATTCTCCATCGTGAGTATAGTCCGTCATTATTTCTCTCTGTAGTATCATTGATACTTGAGCTGCCCCTCGCAGATCTGTCCTGATCTCGTCAACAGGGCTATGTTAGTCAACATCTCTCATCCGAATACAGTAGACAATTCTGTGCATACGTATTTCTTCGTCTGTGTGCTGTACGTGAGAAAACTGCACGCGTAAACACAGACCTGTCTTCGCCTTGCGATCGATCCGATTGGTTCTGACAGTCTACACTGTACGTCCCTAACCTATAAGATCCCCTTGTGTTACACCAGTTACGGGACATATGTATATGCGTAAGAGGATGAATTACGTGTAAGAGTACGGTTGCCAACCATGTCGGGCGCTGCGCAACTATCATACGATGCATGCATCCATCTCTGGGAATGCGTTGCCACAGTCACTGGCATCGACTACCTTTAGTGTCAACCGGCGACTCCATCACGACTCCTAGTATATCCGACCACATTAGGATCGTTAGCACGCATGCCCCGTATCTGGTTGTCCTGGTGTCAATTTGGATAGAAGAAGCATATGCTTCCGAAGCTGATCGGTAGCTTATAGGTTCTGACGTTCTCATAATAGAGATTAATAGGCTCCGTACAAATTGCCCTGTCGTGCTTTAGTCAGTGATTTGAGGTAGGTAACATTTTGCTAAACTGTTCCGAGACGCAAAACCTGCGAGCGGCCACCGCACTCGGCATGTGCGCTTTACATTAAAATGTGATCTAATGACCAGATTCAATGATTGAATCTGTCCATCAGATTGTCAGTATCCTTCAACTATGAAGCACTGTGATGTAGACTGGACCTCTGTACCTCTGAACGGCTCGCCGCGGTAGGCGCATTCTAGCATGTCCTTCGATGGTTGACGAACCATAAGTTTAATGTTCTTTGATGGATCTCCATTAGCGATAGAGTACAGAAGAATCTGGCAGTGCCCTAATCCCTCATGATGAGGGTCGTATCAGCGTGTAGCGATGGTGCCGCGATTCGCGGCTCGCGAGGCTCACGCCATGGAATTAACGGTTTCCCCTTCGGCACGCGTGCACAGCGATCGGCTACTAAGCTGAGTCATGCAATCGCACATGAGATTCGCCAGTTAGAACCTATCTGTTGGATAGCTAGTTCGCACTGTGAGAACCACTCTGAAACTCCTGTCGTTATGGTAACTATATTTGTTATCATCTAGTGAAACTGAAGGCTAAACTGAGCTCATCAAGCTCAAGAATTGTTCTCGAAACGTGGAATTTTTTCACGGCTCATTATAGATGGGTAGCGTAACGTTTCTTTACGGTTCACGTTGCGGCGTGCGTAACGTAAGCAACTTACGATTAAGAAAAGGCCTTACGACTTTATGACTGGTGCTGAACTTCTTTCTCCGAATTTCGGCGGAAAGATTCGCTGTGATGCACTCCACGATAGCTGAAATAGTTGTTAAACTCATTCCTTGTGGCTCGGATTCAACGGAACCGCTGAGAGAGTAACATTTGGTTTCACATTTGCCACTCGTCTCCTTCGCAAGTTCTGTCCGTCCTACTCCCAGGCTAGCCCGGAACTGCCAAGCTGGCCTCATCACCGGATTGGCATTCACATGATATAGATTTAGGCGACATGAATGATCAATCCTCGTTTTGTCTTCTGCATCTCCGTAAGACCCGTTACGGCGCCGTAATCTTACGGTATGGGGCTTGAAGCGTAACCGTGAAAGTGAACCGTAACGGCCCGTAACGCAATTCTGCCCATCTATACGGCTGATCGTTGTTAAGACGGTCTTAACCAATGATACATCTGTCCCCAGATTCCAGACCAAATCTTCCTCGCATCTCATGTGTTCCTCAGCTTCATATGTAGCTAGATCCGTGCATATTTTCTCACACTGGCAGAAAAGAAGTCAGGTAAGAGCGAGCAAACGAGTGGAGACTAGTAGTAGACTCATACCTCCGACAATAACAACTAGTTCGGCTCCTACTTGTACATACGTGGGCGTACTACGTGAGCAGTACGTAGCGTACGTGAGCGTACTACGTAAAGTTATGGAGCAGTACGCATGCGATAGTACTCACGTACACAGTAGAGCATACTTATCAACAATTACGCTGCACTGCTCTATCGCATAGCGACCCTTATACTTCTGCGAGTGTAACTTTACATATTCATCGTGATGATCTGTTAGCTTTTGTCTCTGTTATTCTTCTCCCTTTCATATGAGCAATTCTCTCTTATTCGTCGGTCTGTGCTCCTTGATTGCCTTATCTCAGGGTGACAGTCCGCACATCCGAGGCGTATTCGACAAGATCACTGACTTGAGTGGTATAAACGCTTCAAGTGTATTCGCTCAAGCGTTGTGGTTCTCTTTTGAGGTTCTGTCTATACTCCCGATGAGCACTCTGAACATTTCTCCCGCTTCAAAGATCAGCTGGATGAGGTGCTTCTGAAGGAAGAACTACTAACTGACTCCTTGATTGAGCTCTTCAACAACACTGAGCCGGCTTTATTGCAATCCATGGTTGGCAAAATCAACTCGATGCAGCAGTCGTGGACGGCTTCCAAAGATCAGCCACCTTTCAAGGGTACGCGATGAACTTCATGCTCAACATTACCTCGAGCGGCAAAGTCGAGAACCAGTGCTACTATTCGACAGGTATGTCAATCAAAGATGTCCCCACTGGGTGTCCCAACGGGCCGAAGCCCTCTTCTACTTCTGATGACGAAACTCGCCTCCTCGGACCCACAAAGCCGGAATTGAAGGACTTACCAAGCAACTTCGACGCTCGGCAGAAGTTTGCTTCTTGTGCTGGAGTCATTGGGCATGTGAGGTAGTCCTCTCTACTGCTGTTATGGTAGCTCCTAGATGGAGGTCCATCTTTCAGAGATCAAAGTGCTTGTCACAACTGCTGGACCGTAAGCTCAACCGGAATGCTCAATGATCGTGTGTGCATCAAGTCCGGCGGTACCTTCAGAGATATCCTATCTGTCGGTTACTTCACTTCATGCTGCAATCCTGCTAATGGATGTCCCAAGTGAGAGAAATGCATTCAACCACGGGCGATGGCAATGCGTTCTCTGATTGACAGCTAAGATCTACTTCATCTTCAGAGCGAAGGGCTGTCAGGGTGGCAACCTGCTTGAAGGTCTGAACTTCCTGAAAAATCATGGCATTGTTACTGGTAAGAATATTCAACTCAGATCACTCAAGTTGGGTGAGTTTGAGACCGGCATCGACTCCTCTTCGGATTAGCATCACTTGTAGCCTTCGTAGGTGATGAATTCAAACCGGCCGGGCAACTGAGTAGCGCTGATGGCTGCTGGCCGTATCCATTCCCGAAGTGCAAACATGTGAGCTCAGCGGCCAGCAGATATCCCGCATGTCCGGCAGTAAGTGTAACATAGGGTTCCTCGTAGCGTCATCACATGGTGGTGGATTCTCTAGTCGTAGGCGGGCTACTCCTCTCCTGCATGCCAAACTAAATGCACCAATAAAGCATACAAGACCAGCCTGCAGCAGTAGGAGCACACCAGATGGAGACTTCATATTCACTCTATATCAGAGATCTTCACCGTGCTAAGAGCTTTGGCCGTCTACCAGCGATCCCCCAGAATATCAAGCAAGAGATTTTCACTAATGGACCTGTAAGCCACCGTAGCTTAGCTACGGAGTTCATTTCATCTCGATGCTTCTAGCAGTTGCGATGAAGCAAGCGTATATATAAATTAATCATTTAGATTGAGTTCGATGAAATCTGCATTTGAATTATTCAAGAAAACCGAACTCGACTTAGCGACTGAGAATGTGGACCAGCAGATTATGTGACTGGTAGTCTGAGCGGATCATCTCTCCACTTCAGGTTATCGGGATGCTTTCTATTTATGAGGATATCCGAGTATACAAGGCTGGTGTCTATGTGCACCAAACTGGTAGCTTCCAGGGTATTCATACTCTTAAGATTATTGGTTGGGGAGTTGAGTCCGGGCAAGATTATTGGTTAGCGGTGAACTCTTGGAATGAGGAATGGGGTGACCATGGTATGATCAAGCTTGCAGTGGGAAGAACTGGTATAGAGAACTCTGTGTATTATGTCGAACCGGCCTAGTACTTGGTTCACATAACGCCTTTTCTCAGTCATATTTCCCCGCTGAAGCTCATACGTTTCAGCTTCTTATTTCTCTCCATTCACGTTTTTTTTTGTTAACTTATACCGAAGGGCACATGAAAAGCCCTTGAAGGGAGATAGCGAGTGCTCTCCCCTCAATTTCAATCAACTTCTCAACTTAATTTCAAATTGTAAGTCGTTTGAAATGTCCGCGTGTACGGCTTGCTGTGTAATCACTGGTGTCTATGTACCGCTTACGGCGCCTGCGTGTGATTGTGCCACCATCGTCAGACACGCATGTTTTGCTCGGGCCGAGCTATGGCCAGTCTTCTACTCGTGCTTCTAGGGTTTGAGTATTAGATTCATACGATTATGTGATATGCATGCATTTTGCAGCTGCGCGCATACACGTATATCTAGCTGAGTCTGGATATGTGGCTCTTGCGAGTTTACATTGGCCCTCAACTGCATGAGTTGAGTTGCCCAGTTGCACGTTTCTAAGACACAATAATCAGAACACGTACTACAACGACAGTGATCCAACACTGAATTATCCAAATCATCAAACATATGCCTTAGGAGTTAATTATTGTAGGGTGAGACTTGATCATATCTCCTGAAAGTCGCGTTCATGAGGCGAAGACCGATCAAACTCTTACATCGCATTCGTCAATTTTCGGTGAACTCATGCTCAACTATTTCAACTAGCCTGGTTCCCTTCCCGCCTCCTGGAGTAACCAAATAGGAGGCTGAAACGTGAAGGAATACTATAGCATTTCCAGGTCAATTTAACATTTTACTCGAATTTCCAACAATATAACTACTTCTTTGGAGAGAATACCCTTTCTTCAATCTTTTGCCGACTGATCTTAACGTATTACCCAAAATTTTGGTTTAATAGCTTGTCTTTCTAAAAACATGCCCACTTTGATTAACGACGTTAGCTTTGGCTACACCAGACGGACCCGCAACTGACCTAGGAATTTCAACGCTAGCCGCAATCCGCGAGAGACTCGCAGAGTCGAGGATGCCCCACAATCGTGAGGTCATTTCCTGAGGTACACATCTTCTGAAGGATACTTACTAAGTACCCTTACTAAGTATTACTTAGCCGCCAGAGGCAGTACCGAGTGAGTAGTAATCTACTGTTCACTCGGGGGTACGAATAGCAATGAGGTTCGGAGTTCAGTAGGAGTGGGGTGTGTTGTTATATAATGCTCAGCATTAAATGCTGCAGTCTGGTTTCGATTCTGTTGTGCGAGGGAGCATTATCCTCTGACAGAGGACCTCTGTTAATGTAAGCTTCTCAGGGTTGATCTGCATCTCATCACAGATGTGTATTACAACTCGCACGAGTCAGTCACCGGAGACCCTGATTCTATGAAGAAGGAAGACTCCGGTCCGGAGAACCGCGCCTGCGCAACCAAGAGCACGACTTCCGAGTCAGACTCGGGGAGACCCATCGCTCCCAAGATACTTATATTTTCTCCTGCTGATAACCCTGCCTTGTGTGAACTCGTTAGCCCCTGTCAGAGGCCCTCTGATGCCTGAGGCGTCACCGAGACGCCGTCACGCCTCTTCCCGATGCACCTAGATACGGATTGATACACGGATACAGTTTCCCATCAGTTTCATCTTGGTACAGTATGAGTCGCAATTTGCGACTCGCAAATGTGCGTACCCACGTCCTACGCGTGGTACTTTACACGGAGTAGGCGACGTGTAACTACGTTGAGATCGTCCGTGTAGCCGAAACTAACGTCGTTAATTGAGGTGGGTATGTTTTTAACAAGACCAGCTATTATTTTAGAATTTTGGTTAAAAGTTAAAATCAGTCGGTAAAAGACTAAAAGAGGGTATTCTTTCAAAGGAAGTGGTTAAGTTATTAAAAATTCGGGTAAAATATTAAATTGACCTGGAAATGCTGTAGTTGTTTTTCATCTTCAGAATCTTTCCAACTTCTACGCACAGTATCGCGCTGAGAATAAAACCAAGGATCTTATCGTGTGGACATTTGTTATTCTCATGCTGCCATGTGCCTTAGTGCGGTCCCTCATTGAAATCTATTCCTGGCTTCTTTCTCTCCTACAACTCATCCTCTACTTCATCGTAGGGTGCTTGGGTAGTTTAGCGGCTTCAAGGTTACAAGCTTTGGAAAGGGGCTGTCCCTCAGTGGAGCCTCAAGGAATCCTACCTCTCCAAGAAATGCCCGGCAGGAGGGAGCTTATAACATTTATGTAGTTGTGAGTCACAACTTGTGACTGTGCTGGTATGGGCCGTATGCCTCCTATTCCATCCCTTAAGTAGGTCTTCATCAAGCGAAAGTAGTGTCGTTGTTTCATCTGCAGTTGCTTTCACTTGATCTCGCAGGTGTGGTTGGAGACTCCAACTTGGAGTCCCTTACTAAGGCGGTCCGTTGGATGCTCGCTGCGTTGCAAGCTGTACTACTTCTAGTCGTCCCTGCTAAATTAATTTGTACTGATCGCTCCCCGACCACCATCAGAACTGGCTTCATATTGATAGTCGCAATCAGGGTTTCCTATAAGGCGAAAAAAATTTTTTTTTGTTTCGGTGTTACGAAAAAAAATAAATTCATGTGTGATAGGCTGAAAAAAAAATTCGCTATTTTCTGTAGTTTCGCGGAGAGATATCGTAAAGGATGGTGAGTTATAGAGGCAGAGAATGAGGTTTATCGGGATATTATCTGGGGGTCTCCCAATGGCGCAATATTACAATCGAGTAATATACCACAATCGAATTGACGGCACAATATTATACAAACCTGGGACCGAAAGCTGAAACTCATTCGGACTCTGATGAATCCGCATCTGCGGCGAAATATTCTTGCATATTACGCAACGCTACATATTTCGCACGTCTTTGTGCGCGTACAACGGGTCTATCACGATCATCAGCTTGCTGGATGACCATATCATCATCAGAGATGTCTGACCCTGTATCACTACCGATCAGAGGCCCCGATCGGATCTCTTTACGAGGTTTCTTGGACACTGGTTCCGGTCGCTTGGCGCGACGACGACGCTGTTTTGACCCATCCCAAGTTCGGAGCACCTCCCGTATGAAGGCTCCGTCACTCGGTTGACTGCTAGCACCGATAGTCTTTGACATACTTATTCTGACTAATGCTGGTAGATGGATATGAAGTCGGCGCCGAAAGCGAGATCGATGCCGAGAAAGGGCACTAAAAACTCGCTCTGCATCGGCAGATGTTGGTGACACCACTCGACACACATTATCGTAGAATGCCCATGAAGCAGAGAGGCCGGCAGGCTTAATATTGTGTATATCGGGGATCACAGCACCAGCAGCTTTCAGCCTGAAATACTCATTGCGGACAAGTTGATAATCTCTGGCAAAATCCACAGCCTTCAGGTCTGGATCATCAACCTTGAGCTTCGTCAAGATCTGAGAAAACTTCGCCTGTACGACGCCGTCAGGATATTCATGAGACATATCCAACAAAGACATCCATGAAGCCTCGTCAATAGGGAAGCGATCCATCAAATGATCAACGAGTGCATCACGGAGAGATGCGAGATCAGTCGAAAGGTTTTGGATATTCTTCAGATGAATCGTTGTCGATTCAAGCAGACCTTGCGCCCCCCCCATAAGTCCAGCGATCGCTCCTGGAGACGTTTAGTTAGGAGACCGCAAGGACGAAGCAAACGGAGAAGCATCAACATATCTTCCGAGTGCTCATCAATGGTTTCCATGAGAAATCATAGTCTTGTGTTGTCTCGAAATTGTCGCCCCTGATTAGAA